TGTATTTCTCAACTCCTTGCTAAAATTTAATTACGATCCAAATTCCCTTCATTCAGAATATAAATTCTGGTATATTATGTTTATTATACCAAGACAAAAACACTTCTTTGGTTTCACTTACGTATCATAAATACGTTTGGGTGGACACCACAAATTCTTTCTGTTCTCACAGAAAATATTGAATAGAGCTCTCACGCTCACAATTGTGATATAACTCTTATTACTGAATTTCATCTGAAGGTACCTGATTGTTACTAATTATATGTAAATATATTTGTACCTTAAAAATAAAAACTAGGTAATTAGTGAACTTTCTTCGATTTTAAACATCTCTGTTTTTCACCATTAAAGACATATAATAGGCTTTCAGATCACTGCTGCGATTTTCAGATGTAGTTGTTGGTGTAAGATAATCTATAGCTTGCTTTGAAGTATTTAATATATTAAGTAGATAAACATTATATATATAACAAACTCATTTAAGTTCGACTCATTTTATAATTAAAAAATTTGGTAAATTTTTGTTACATTTTCATGTCAAAATTATTATCGGAAAAAGATAAACTGTGTCAATAATCAATATTAATAATTTTATAATATTTTATTACTACATTTTGAATTTATTATAGATTAGATAAGATTGGTCCGGTAATTTTTTAGATCAACCTTAACAGATTTTTGAAAATATTGATATTCTAAAAATATTATAATCAATTTTCAGTTTATTATATATTAAGTAAAGTTGATGTAGTTCGCTATGAGTTACCTCTATGTAGATTTTTACTAGGTTTCGAGTTTAAGATTTTAATGTTCCGGCAGTATCATTCCTGAGACGTGTTCATACTTTGTGAATTGTGGATCCACTAGGTTTTTTAAGCGTGCTTGTGCTTGTGCTTGTGATGAGCCATAATATAAAGAGCTGTTTCAAAATCCTTTTTGTAACTTCTTGTCGCAAAAATGTCCTTTAAGATGATGTATTCATGCATCCTTAAAAGTTTTGCTTTTGATTTGGTTTTGGTCTGAGCTCATTCAGAAATATAAATAACTTCACTTGTTTACAATACTCAGGCAATTTCTGCGTTGAATGTCACTGTAAATGCTACTTCAATGACAAAAGGTGTTAAATAACCATATGACAATTTTATTATTGGGCGTCATGCCACGTAACTCAGCATTGATGGGGCTTCACTTACTTCCGATGTTAACGAAATGGTAATGTGACACTTAGTTTCCGTTTGCTATTTGCAACTTACTAACTTCGTTATAACTTAAAATGTATAAATGCTAATAATAAAGAAAATGTACAATAAAATAAACCATAATAAAAGCTAAAAATAAATAAAATAAAAAAGCCTGCGCCACAACATTGCATTCGTTACTGTGGCTCATAACAATAAAATTTTAATGTACTTTAACCCTTCTGAAGCAAGTGTGTGTGACGTGTCTTGTAGTTGGGCGGCATGAAACCAGCAAGACAGCACGACATCATGGTAACCCACTGAGAGCTCATAATCATAAAAAAACAGCAAAAAAAAAATGTGAAAAATGGAAGAAAAAACTTCAAACGGAACGGAAACGGAAATATGATGAGTGCGACTTTCATGCGCACATTCATGCCTTAAAAGGTGCTTTACTAACACAATCAAATACAATTTGCACATTTACAAGCACACGACACACACACACACCAAGGCACTTACACATAATTGTGAAAACATTCCGACACATGTTAACATCATATGCAGCTACGCCCAACATACTCACGCCCAGGCTTAAAGTTTTCGCCATGTTTGGCTAGGGTCATCATCATTACTTTTATTATTTTCTTTCCTTCACAGGACGTTTTGTTTTTCTCTTTCTTTTATTGTTGCGCTGGTAATGCGATTTCCTCTTCACTTCGCCTGTGCTTCCCTTATTTTTCGCTCACACTGGAACAGTAAAATAATAACTTTGTTATTTTAGCGCACCGACGCCAATTGTATTAAAGCAGGGCGCACATTTTATTGGGTATTTCGTGCTGTTATTGTGTGTAAGGCTCCTTGACTATTTATTTTTATGACTAAATGTGGAAATTGTGGCAACACTAAAATTCCTGGTATGTAGCATGCAACAAATATGTACGGAACTTTCGTGAAATGAGTCATATCAGACGACATGAAACATCGCTACAAATTAGCTGTCAAATATTTGTTGGTAATTGTGTAACTGAATTGTGTCTTCACATAACAAATTAATAGATCCCTTTCAGCATAGGTATATCAGATAATATTTTCTTTCTCTTTCTTACATGCAAAACAATTTTTATATATTTAATTTGAAACCTTACATAGATCCATAGCGCTTGACTACTTCTACTTCTTTGCTTAAAAAAATGCGAGATAGAGTCTGCAGCAGTTTTACTCAATAGTGTATATGACCACTTGGGTGAACCTTGTAACAAGAGCTCCGCTGAATTCTGGTAATAAGCGGTAGATTTCTAGCCCAGCATATCCTTCTAACGGAATATATATGTAAGCATCCACAGAATCAAAAAATTTTAGCGCTCTGCCCTTGATATAACTTGCCAGTCACTTTTCAACTCATTCTATGTTGAGGCTAGTCACTGTTTTTTTGGTAATCGGTAATACAATATTATGTCGCAAACACGAACATAATATATACCTTACTTTATTAATAACATAAAGTCTTCGGAATCTCACATAAGATGCACTCTCCGGACAGTAGTCATACTGTAAAAATAACTAACCCTATCATCTCATTTATCTATTGATTTGAAATGTTGATTTAGGAAAGGTTTGTATAGTTTATACCCAATTAAGATGAAACATATGGATAGTTATATCTGGGCATAACTAGTATGTCTCTTTATCTTTATTAATTCAATTTTAATTTACATTCGTTTGGAATTCAATTGTGTGGGGTAATGTTACATCAATAGATAAATGAGATGATAGGGTTAAGTATATATACAGTATGACTACTGTCCGGAGAGTACATTTTGTATTTTGTACATCTTGTGAGATTCCGAAGACTTTATATTATTAATAAAATAAGGTATATATTATGTTCGTGTATGCGACATAATATTGTATTACCGATTACCAAAAACACAGTATTACCGATTACCAAAAACACAGTGATCAACTCATAAAGCTATGTTTCTTATATACCATGGAGCATTTAGCATACGTCTCAATACGATATTTTGACAAAATGCGAATTTTCTCATAGTTAATGGCAACTTCTCTTTACAGTCAGCATAATAAAAAGAAGGTAGTTTGTCATTCAAGATGACTTACCATAATTGTTTTTTGAAGTATTTTATTTACATTTTGCTTGCAACACCACCAAAATTTGTTTTTTCTGCAGTTCGTTATGGGTAAAGGGTAGCTAGAAATTATTGGGCGCCAGGAATGTACGATGTGTTGTCTCGATTATTATTTATTTGCTTAACTTAACCTCACTAAAACCACCATTTAGAAATGAATGAAGAAAATGTCTACCATTGTTCCAGAGTGCAGTGTACAATTCTAGGTTTATGTAAGCCAGAAAGTACGGGCGTGGTGTAGGGAAAGTAGGTGAAAAGGTTTAGGCTATTGTGCAAGCAATGGCGTAAGTTTATAGTGAACTCTACAACTGGGGCCACGAAAGCCGCAGTTATGAAGAGAGTTGACAAAAATATTTCAATATTTCTCAGGTATTTTATGGGTTTGTAGCGCATGGTTGACAAGATCACAGAGGAACGTGTGCTGGGGGTTGAAACGTCGAGTGATAGTTTATGCAGCCTATGCAGCCTATGCACCCGTATGAGAATCGATCGGTAGAAGGTGCTCATCGATAAGAGTAATATAACATTATTTGTGTAGGACAAATTTTACAAATTTTCTGTTAGCAGCTGCAAGTTCGAATTTGTGAAAGACTGTTTGTTTGGAAACTATCTTTCTGGTTACTTTAGGGTAAGTAGGCTACTTAGAAATCAAGACCTTTCTCGGCAAAAAAAGCAAAATCTACAAGTTTCTTATCATGAAATTCAAAAATCCAAAAATGTTGCTTTGTATACTCGCTACTAGGAGCTCGCGAGCCACCCCTAAAACATAATGAACGTAAAAATCTACAAAACTTTAATATTGTAACTTTAATATGTAACAATAATATGTTTTAAGACCTTGGTTGAATTGGTTTATAGCACAAATAAATGAAGAGAATATGTGGTGTCAGAACGGAATCTCTAACTCTTTATTCAGATTTATTGCCTTTATAACATTTGGTATAAGTTTTTGACAGCTAATCTAATGAGC